TAAGCCAAAAAGAAAATGAATTAATGAATATAAAACCCCAACCCAGACAATATATCACTTTAAACCATTAAAAATGTTAATAAAAGTCCCCTTTTCGAAATTTTCAAGGATAAAAGTTGTTGGATGAAAGATCAAAGTGCCATAATACAATTTAAAAGCATAAATAAACAGGGGGAAATAACAATAATAATCACAAATTACAGAAAACTGCTAATCTAATTTACAGATTTTATTTACACTGTTTATGCAAGCTTTTGTACTACAATAATATCAGATTCGTCGGAAAATAACATTAAAAACATTTGTTGTAAATAATACTGGAAAATAATTATAATCTTTGGCGAAAAATAAACACAACCTCTCCAGTGATTTGAAATAATCAATGGAAATTTAGTAAGCTAGAATAGCAGATATCTGGAGTTTATCATCCTGACAGGTTAAATATATGTTACAGACTCTTTTCATGTTTAAACCCGGCTGAGAAATCCAGTAGGTGTGTTTAAGTACATAATAGGTGCTTTCTAGCTGGTCTAAGCTGGTCATTAGCTGTTGTAAGTTGGTTGTTAACAGCTACCATGTCCCAAATCCCATTTAGACTACATTAAACCCCTGTAATCATGTCATTTATTGCTGTGATAAATGATTTATCAGTTTTCACCAGCTTATAATCAGCCTGAATCAGCTAATGACAATAGTTACTATATTCCTGACAGCTTTTACAGATAGACTCTTCCAACAGGGAAGGGCTTTCCATGAATTTAATGGGTGTGTAAAAGGCTGTTATCATGGCTCATGACTGGTCATCTTCATTGCTCTGCTGTCATATTATAATTCAGGGCTTCGCAGATCTCTGCTGCAGAATTATTTGAGAACCCTAGCTGGGCAGTTGTGTTCTTTCGGAAACTATGCTTTCTTTCCTGGAGTTTTTGGGAAGCTTGAGCATCTTCTGTGCTGTATTAGCCCAGGCGTCTGGAGTGGAAAGAATCTTCTATATTGCGATTCGAGAGGAAGAGTGGGATTATGCACCAAGTGGACAGAATCTGATCAATGGGAAGCGTATTGAAGAGGATGAGTAAGAGATTTATTTATTTATACAAATAAATAATTTTTAGATTTTTGTATATTTACATACCTATATTTATAATTAATTCTATTTTTATTCATGTATTATATTATTTATTATGTTTTAATGAATCTACATAATTACACAATGCACACAATTTAACAAATATTTTATTTTATGGTTAAATATTTTATTTTTATTTTAAAAGTCAACAATTTTTATTCCTATGTATATTATTTAGACACCATTCTTGATACTTTCTTACAGGTGGGGTCAAGACATAGTATTAAGTTGTGTACATAAGGATAGCAAAATAATGAAAACTTTGACATTGAATTCATAAGTTCTTCATACTGTAAACTAAAATCCAACAAGAGTTAAAGAAAACTGCAGCAGCAAGTCTGGGAAATTGCTGAAGTTCAGGTTTGCATGAAACTGGAGACTACAGGCTGTTATTGAGAATAAGGGTGGGCAACAAATGTATACTATTGACACTGTAAATATTATCATACTAGGACTTGTCTGAATTATTTTTGATGGATGGTAACCTTTCAATCAAAGTTATCTAATAATATCAAGATAAATTTATTCTGAAAGAGTCTGCACTCTTGCGTTCTTGTCATAAACGACTATAATTTTCTAAACTTTAGCAAAATAACTGTGATAATGTGAGAACTGTAGAGAGTATCAGAACTTACACATAAATATTTTATATATATATTCCTTCGGCTTATTCTTTTATTTATCAGGGGCCGCCAACTATTTCTGCATTTTTTTTACACAGAGGATGCCCTTTTAGCCGCAACCCAGCACTGGAAAATACAGAAAATATATTCATATTAAACAATTATTTTTTATGCATAATTGCCAGCCATTGGAGAGGGGTCTGGCTGCAGACCTGGTGCAGTGCAATCTGGGCTGCATCCAATGCTTTTTAATAGGCTCACCTAACCCCACCCCTAACCCTACCCGTCACAGTGACGTCACTAGCTCCATTTGAGTGCATTGCGTCTGACATTGTATCGCTGAGTGATGCAGTCTCAGCTTGCATCATAAAGGCTACATTCAGATACTATTGAGCTATTGTGATATGCAGCTCATTGCCTTAGAATTTTAAGGTTCTAGCTAACATTTTTGTCAAAAATTGAGTTATTCTTATCACATATAAGTGATTTTTTATAAGTTGTTTATATTTTAAGACTTTTTATTTAAAACAAAAAAACAAAAAAGGTTTTATCTACAAAAATCAAGTTAATCAAAATCAAATAAAGTTTTAGCTTAGCTTTATAAGGTTCTTTCTGTTAGTCAATCAGCATTTCAAATGCACGCACGAGTGCCTTGTTACATTGTAATTGCTATGCTGTTACATTACTATTACATTGCAATTACATCCAATAGAATATTTATAAATGTTTTTTTTAATATATTTGAAATACTTTAATTGTGTATTTACATGTAAACAAACTATTATTTTGGATATATTTACTATATTGTTATAACATTGTAAATTCATTGTCGCAACAATGTAATAATAGTGTAATTAAAATTGTATAACAATGTTATAATAATGCAATTACAATGGTATAATAATGTCATAATAATGTAATTACAATGGTACAATAATGTCACCCCAATGGTCTAACAATGTAGTCATTGCAATTGTATACCAATGTTGTTACAATATTATTACATTGTACATACATTGCAATTACATTGTCATGACAATGTTACAACTTTGCAATTACTATATCGCTACAACATTGCAATTACTACATTATTATACCATTGTAATTAGATATTGTACCATTGTAATAGCATTGTAATTACTATATTATTATAACACTGTAACTACATTGTTATAGCAATGTAACAACATTGTAACTACTACTTGTTATACCATTGTTATAACATTGTGATGACATACTCATATCAATTTAATAACATCGTAACTACTGCATTGTTATCCCATTATAATTACATTGTTAAAACATTGCTATACCATTGTAATTACTGTATGTTATAACATACAGTACACAGTATATTAAAATTACATTGTATTGCTATTACATTGTTACAATAATTTAATTACAATTCTATAAAATGTAGTAATTGCAATGTTATAAAGATATAGTAATTAAAATATTATAACATTGTTATGAAAATGTAATTACTATATTATAACAATATACATTGACTGTGTGCATTAGCATTACTTTTTGTCTATTTGAGAGATCCCATCACAGTTGCGTTCCAGGTTCCAGTGCTTTAAAGAAGGAAACAGGTGCACGCACACGCATCACATCAGCTGTTAGCGCGAGTGATCATCCTCTCATTCGGTATTCATCTGCTTTCTTCTGCTCGCGCCAATGCAATTTTTTTGTTAGTCGTGCTGTTTCTCCATTCTAAGATCACATTCACACGCATATTGGGTCCCTCTTATAGTCGAACCCTGGTTTTAAGCAAACCACAATTTAAAAATTATTTTTAATCAGCCAAAGTGGCTAGGGGGAGTGACTGTCTAACTCGCCAAAGCTGAAATCTACCCGCATGAAGAGCCAATGAGCATTTCGAATGCACACATGAGGGCCTTGTTACATTGTAATTATATCCATTTATAAACATGTTTCTTTGTATATTTCAAGTACTGTATTTGTGTATATTTATATGTAAATTTATATAGTACAAGTAATTACAAGCTATTATTTTGGTGTATAATTTTGATGTAATTACTATGTGTTAACATTGTAGTTGCATTGTTATAAAATTAAAACATTGTAATAACAATACTGTTATACCATTGTAATTAAATTGTTATAACATGTTTCTTTGTATATTTCAAGTACTGTATTTGTGCATTTATATGGAAAAATACACAGTACATATGTAATTACAAACTATTATTTTGGATGTAATTGCTAAATTGTTATAACATAATCACATTGTTATAAAAATGTAACAATATTGCCATTTCTATATCGGTAAAACATTTTACTTACATTGTTATAACATTGTAATGACATAGAAATTACTATACTGTTTTTACATTGTAACTACATTGTTATAGCAATGTAATAACATAGTATTTACTACTTTTTTATACCATAGTATTAACATTGCTATAACATTGTTATACCATTGTAATTACATCTATGATAGTATTGTATGTTTTTGTATATTTTATGTATAATACAGTATTGTCACTTAAGAATTATAAAGTTCTATCTGTCATTTTTGTGAGTTATTTACATATTTTTAATAAATGACAACATATTTACATTATGTGATTTTTTTATAAGTTGTTTGCATTTTAAGAGTTTTTATTTAAAAAACAAACAAAAAAGGTTTTATCTACAAAGTCAAACTCTAGCTTGGCTCTATAAGGTTCTTTCTGTGAGCCAATTAGCATTTTAAATGCACAGACGAGGGCCAATCAGGATCAGCTATCTTTGTCATTTCGCCACTTTGCTCCATTGACAGTGGGAAAGACCAGAAAGAAACACAAAATCAGAGTCAACCAATGAAATATTTTTTAGTGTTTATTAAACTCCCTTGCTTCTTTGATATAAAGCCTTGAAGGGCAAATACTATTTCATGGAGCATATAATATAACATTAACAATGGTATTCAATAATTACAATGGTATTCAATTATTCATATAATGCATATAATTCATATTAATTACATAAAATTAACAGCTGCACTGGACAAAATATTTAGCAGAGCCTTGTATGCTTAATTTGAACAAGAAAAAATATTCACGCTAAAACATTAATTAAATGTTATAGAAACCAAAAAAAAAAAAGATTTCATATTACATAGTACAAATAAAGAGTGTAACACATAACATAATACATTTTTATTAAATGTTAGCTACTCATTTTTTTTATATATATAATATTAAGCTATAATTCAATGTCTATTTATGTTCCTCCAAATATTTGCCTAAATTGAATGCATTCAATATATTGAGTGTATTTATCAAATGCACTCAATTATGGAAGACAATTACCCGTTTAAGCTAATAATTCTTCAGAAAACTCTACTTACTTTCTTTTTCCTCAGGCAGGCATCAGTATTTCTGCAACGTGGGGCTCGGCGGATTGGCAGTGTGTATAAAAAGGCAATTTACAGGCAGTACACAGATTCTTCTTACTCTCAGGAGGTCCCCAAACCCCCCTGGCTGGGTTACCTGGGGCCCGTCATGAGGGCTGAGGAGCAGGATGTTATCATAGTGCACATGAAGAACTTTGGCTCCAGACGTTACTCCATGCATCCACATGGCGTCTTCTATGCCAAAGACTCAGAAGGTAAAGCCTCTTTCGGTCTCAATCACTCCTTCTTGTTGATCATTTCCATTCCTACCTTGGGATAGAACATAATAGAAAGATGATTGTGATGGCGTTTTTTCTTAATTTTGAGTTGTTTCTGACAATTTTATCACAATACTGTGTATATTTTTCTATTGCTTTAGTTCTCAAAAGCTTGAGTTCATTTATCGTAATTTACTGTTTGCATTTTTTCAGTTTTGACTTTTTAAAATCAGATTTGGAGCTTTATTTCTCAAGATGGGTGTTTAGGTGATCTCACTCTTTTGACTTGTTAAAAATATCTGTCTCAATAGCAAGATATAAACAGATATGTTTTTTTCTGAATATTTAAAATTAACAGTTCATGATTATGTGTATCAGAATTCTGATGCCCTTTTTGCCAGAACTGCAATTATATTTATCACAATTGCGCACTTCTTACAGCCTTACAATTCTAAATTTGACTATTGTCATTCATTCATTTTCTTGTCGGCTTAGTCCCTTTATTAATCTGGGGTCGCCACAGTGGAATGAACCGCCAACTTATCCAGCAAGTTTTTACGCAGCGGATGCCCTTCCAGCCGCAACCCATCTCTGGGAAACATCCACAAATACACACACACACACTCATACACTACGGACAATTTAGCCTACCCAATTGACCTGTACCGCATGTCTTTGGACTGTGGGGGAAACCGGAGCACCCGGAGGAAACCCAGGGAGAACATGCAAACTCCACACAGAAACGCCAACTGAGCCGAGGATCGAACCAGCGACCTTCTTGCTGTGAGGCGAATGTGCTAATTTGACTATTGTACCTTTCAAGCCTAAGCTCACATTTCTAACTTTGTTCTCTGAACTGTAACCTGTTTGTCATTTAATTACATGATTAATTAAATGATTAATCTCACAGGATTTATTTAATCTTACGTGATTAATTTTACAATATCACAATTTAGATTTTTTTGGAACTGCAACTTTTTTTACAATTGCATCTTAATTTACATATTGCCATTTAGTTTTTTTTATTACGTTACAAAGATCATATTGGCTAAATCTTATTTTCATATCAATAAATAAGACGAAATGTGCCATTTTGAGCTTGTTTAAAATTAATCAGACCCTGTTCCCAATCACACATAAAAGGTCTCACTACAACCAAATAATGACAATGACCAAAAGAATACTGCAGGAGTGGTCGAGCAATGGTTCAGGGATAACATCATTAACATTCCGCACTCTGGAGGGGCCTAGTCATAGCCTTGACCTGAACCCAATTAGGAATTTGTAACGAGAGAAGATCTGATTAAGTTTTGAAGTATTATAATCTTCAGCATACTGTATATACATGTATGATTATTTATTGCCATTTTTTAGCTTTAGAATTTTTTTTTCTCGCAATTGTTTGTTGCATCTCAGCATTCTGAGTCTATACTTAATTTTTTTTTTCCACAGTAAGTTATATCTTGCAATTCTGAGTCTATCATAAGAGGTCTCGCAATTCAGACTTTTTCACATTTTTAATTTAGATTTTTTTTCTTTGAATTCTAAGACATAAACTGACAATTATTCCTTTTTTCTTGCAATTCTGAATTTAAATCAAATTTTGAATTGTCACAATTATGAGATGAAAAATAAAGACATGATATTTTATTTTGAATAATGTAGTCACAATAATTCTGTCACAATTCAATGTTTTATTTTGCGGAGTTTTTTTTTCTCCTGTAATGTAATGTTGTCTCTACCAGGTGCGTTGTATCCAGACGGAACCTCAGACAGTCTGAAGCAAGATGACGGTGTTCCTCCAGGGGGAAACTACACCTACACCTGGATTGTGAAAGCAGAATCTGCCCCTCAGAAGGATGACCCAAACTGCCTGACATGGGCCTACCATTCACACGTCAGTGCTTCACAGGACATCTCCTCTGGCCTTATTGGAGCTCTTCTCACCTGCAAGAAAGGTAAATTTCAGCAGACATTCTGACTGCTACCAGACGTATACAGTATGTTAGATAAAGGTCAATTACACTATAAAATAATAAATATATTTTTAAGTTGTGAATAAATCTATGATTATTAGAGTGAATTGCACATCAAAATACATTTTAATCTTTCTATCCAATTTTATGCTTAATTCAATGTGCTACTGAAATTGTATATGTGTAATAATACTACAGTTAGAAAATAAATATTTCATCTTTATGTTTCTGCCTAAATGGGCTATGTATGTTTTTAAATAATTGTTAAATTGTTGTTGATATTTTTTTAAACTGTACAATAGATTACATTTAAACATATATTATGTTAGCATTGCAATCCAGTTATGGAAATTAAATAGCCTTGAAATTGCAGTTTGTTTTCTAATTGAATAGTTCATTTTTAATAGCGCAATAAACTACAACTGATGAATATTAACATTATTGTACTCTGTCCTCTTTAATGTTTCCCTAATTGCAATGTTTTAGAAATAAGAAACATATTTCTCAAAGAATATCATATATTAAGACATTCCAGAAAAGGATTTGTATTATTTGGCGTAATTATTTTGGCATAGTTTAAGTCAAAATAACTTTACAAGTATAATTGTAATTAATTTGTCTAATTTCATTTAACTTCAAACTTCTATTTATCTAGTAATTTATTTATTTATTTACATTTCAATACTGTAATAATATTAAAAACACTTATTACAACAAATAACTAATAATAGCAGTGTTTTTATGGTTATTCAATTTAAATAATTGTATTTAAAATATTTCCTTAAATTAATTTGCCTTGTTGCCTGCACTGTAAAACCCCAAAACAAAACCATTTCTCAAACCATTTGAGAAAACCGATTGCAACAAACCATTTAAGTTCTAAAACTAATCCTAATGAGTACTGTGAACTTAATCTATTTGAGTAAATGAAGCAATTTGAGCACAGTAAAACCCAATAAATGAAGAGAACTCAAACCAACTGACTACTCTAAAACGTAATAAGTTAAGGCAACTCAAACCGTTTGAGGAAACCGATTGCTAAAAACCATTTGAGTTAAAAAACTAATCTATACGATTACTGTGGACTTACTCTGTTTAAGTTGAAGTATTGAGGTATTTAATTAACTCATTACTGTGTTCAAAAATCTTTTCAAATGAGCAGAATTAACATTCAGTAAATTTTGAGTATTTACACTGACTTCATTTGGTAAAGTTGACTGTTGGGTTTTACAGTGTGGTAAACGTCTTTATGAGGTAAAATTCTATTGAATGTGACATCATCTGAAACTCAATCAGGAACCCTGTGTGAGACGTCCACTTCCGATCAGCACCACGCTCATCGTGAGGATGTGGACCAGGATCTCATCCTCATGTTCAGTGTGGTGGATGAGAACATCAGCTGGTATCTAAAAGAGAACATCCAGAGCTTCTGCTCCGACCCAGATGGTGTGGATCCTGCAAGTGAAGACTTCCAAGAATCCAATTTGATGCACGGTACGTATATCAAAACTCAATCTATAAAATTAAAATGTTTTTAAAAAATAAAAATAAATAAAATAAAAGAGCAGTTCTTTGTTCATTTAAAAAGTTCGTTGAAAAATTCATAAACCAAGATAGCAGTTTAAGTCATTAAGTAAATGTTCTTCATTTTTCAGCCATTAATGGATATGTGTATGGAAACCTACCGGGGATTGAGTTTTGTCAAAACCGCACAGTTGCTCTGCATCTCTTTGGCATGGGCAATGAGATCGACATTCACTCTGTTCATTTCCACGGGCACACACTTCTGGACCGCGGGCACCGTGTGGATGTCATGAGTCTGTTTTCTGCCACTTTTGCCACTGCAGACATGATTCCTGCCACAATAGGGACGTGGCTGTTAAACTGCCAGGTCAATGATCATCTACAAGGTAAAATTTAAGGAAGCATGTTTTTGGATGATACAACAATATCATAAGTTCCTTCCTGTAATTAGCATGCTGGCTGGCTTTTTGACAGCAGCAGACTAAGGGTTTTAATTGAAACTAAATATAAATATTAATAAAGACTCTATATTATAAATTTTAAAAAGTGAATGAATAATTACTGTATAAGAGTACAATATACTGTGCATATATACTATAAATTTATAATAATAATAACAATAATAAGAACAAGTAAACAATTAAGTGAAATATTGCAATATAAATTGTATTGAAAGATACATGAATACATAAAATATGATTTTAAATGATGTTTGTATTTTGTAAATGATGAAGATTGAATTAAAGTAAATTGTTTTAAAAAGTAAATAATTAATGTTTAAGAATATGATATAATAAAGTAAAAAAAATAAATCTTAAAATAACCAATCTAAATACTGTCCAAATAAAATGTTATTTTGATAATGTAATATATTTAAGGACACCCAAATACAATAGTATACTGATAGTAGACAATACTAATAGTAGACAATAATGTCTTTGTAATATACAACATGCGGTTTCCATGAAGTTTACTATATTAATGTGTCTAATACTGCATATTTTAATTTTACAGTGCGCATTTACTTTTTTATTTTGATCCGATGTTTACTATTCATTTTAATCTGTTTTTATTTGTCTGTAGTATTCTGTTATTTCATTTAAATAAATGTTTTTAAAAAATCATTGCAGATACCTTTTGCTTATTGTCTTCAATAGCTGGTATGCAGGCACTGTTCAATGTGTCGTCCTGCAGTGATGAGGCGAGCTCCACGGCTCCTCTCAGTGGGAAGATCAGGAAGTATTTCATTGCTGCTGAGAAGGTTCAGTGGGATTACGGACCATCAGGGATGAACCAAGTGACCAAGGAGTCTCTAATCGATCCTGGAAGGTAGTATATTTGATTATAATTCACATTCGCATTATATGCACTACAAATGTATGAAAGTGTACGTTTATTTCTATTCTTTATTCATCCATAGCTTTTCAGAGGTTTTCTTTGGGACCAATAATAGCCGAATTGGTGGAAAGTACTGGAAGGTGATATACAGAGAATATACAGATAAGACTTTCACCTTAAAGAGAAAGCAAACCAGTGCTCAGACTCATCTAGGCATTCTGGGTAAGTGGATCATTGCAATAACAATAATATTATCAGCATTTGCAAGAAAGTGTTTTATAAGTCTGGTTTGCACTACCATCATGGTGCCTGTAGGTCCAGTACTGAGGGCAGAGGTTGGAGATACACTTCAGGTGATGTTCCTGAATAAAGCTGACAGAAACTACAGTATCCAGCCTCATGGACTCCAGTACGACAAACCCTTCGAGGGAGTATTTTATCAAGATGGTGAGATTTATTTTACACCATCAGGCTAAAGATCAGGGTATGCTTATTTTTTTTTTTTTTTTACCCATATGTTAAAAGAAAAATATTAATAAAGAAGCCAAACATTTTGACTAATATATATATATATATATTAATATTATTCACTAATATATATATATATATATATATATATATATATATATATATATATATATATATATATATATATATATATATATATATATATATATATATATATTACAGAATTAATATATATAAAGTCAGAATTCTGAGCTATAAAATCCAAATTTTGAGAAATAAAGTCAGAACTCTGAGTGATAATATCAGAATTTAGAGTTGTAATGTCGCAATTCCAAGTTAAAAAGTCAGAATTCCGAGTTTTAAAGTCGCAATTCAGAGTAATAAAGTAAGAATTCTGAGTTATAACATCGCAATTCAGAGTAGTAGTCTGAAATTTGAGTTATAAAGTTAGAATTCCGAGTAATAAAGTCACAATTCCGAAATATATAGTCAGAATTCCGAGTTATAAAGTCAATTTTAAGACATAATGTCCGATTTCAGATTTAAAATGTCAGAATTTAAAACCACGGTCATATTTTAGAGTAATAAATCAGAATTCAGAGTTATAAAGTCAGAATTCTGAGTTGAAAAATCAGAATTACAAGTTATAGTCGCAATTCCGAGTAATAAAGTCAGATCTCTGAGTTTAAAAGTCAGAATTCAGAGTTATAGTCACAATTTAGAGCAATAAAGTCAGAATTCAGAGCAATAAAGTCAGAATTCAGAGATATGAAGTCAGAATTTCGAGTTGATAAATCAGAACTCCAAGTAATAAAGTCGCAATTTAAAGTAATGAGGTCAGAATTACAAGTTATAAATACAGAATTCCAAGATATAAAGTCGCAATTCAGAGTAAGTCAGAATTTAGAGTTTTAAAGTCGGAATTCATTCAATTAAAAGCAATAAAGTCGGAATTCAGAGTAATAAAGTCAGAATTCAGAGTTATAATGTCAGAATTCAGAGTAATAAAGTCAGAATTCCGAGTTTTAAAGTCACAATTTAGAGTTATAAAGTCAGAATGTTAAGTAATAAAGTTAGAATTCTGAGTTATAAAGTTGCTTCTATATATTTATGCTTACATATGTCTAATAATGCTATGAAAACTGAGAGTGACTTCGTTTTTGTGTTCACCCTCCACGATTACTACCGCACAGACTCAAATTGACATAATTGGCATCACCGTTTAAAATTTCACATTAGCCATATCTGTTTGGGCTTCATTTGTCTACAGTGGAAAGCCTTGAGCATCTTCTCTGCAGTGTTTCAAAGTATGCCCATTTCATAGTGAACACAGGAGCTCAACACATGCAAACTCAGTCAATAGTCTTTTTTTTTTTTAGTTTTTCCCGAGTAATACATGTCTTCTAATGTTGTAGGTATAAAGAGAAAAGGATATGAAGTTCAGCCAGGTGAAACGTTCACCTACATGTGGAAGTTGAGGGAAGGACCGTCTGAAAGTGACCCTCCCTGTATTTCCTACCTGTACTTTTCCTCCAGTAATGCAGTCAGAGACACTAACTCTGGCCTCGCAGGCCCCCTGCTGGTGTGTAAGAAAGATGCGCTGACATCCAGTGGCACTCAGGTAAAATGAGGCAAATATTTAAAACTAGCTGCTACATTAGCCATTGAATGGTGATATTAACATATGCAAATAAAGCTAAATATTTATTTTCATATGTGATTTGATTTTCCAACAGAAAGAGGTGGATCATGAGTTTTTCCTGCTTTTTACTGTGTTCAATGAAAACCTCAGCTGGTACTTGGATCAGAACATTGAAACCTTTGGCACCAATGAGTCAGACCCAGAAAATCTGGACTTTCAGGAGAGCAATAAAATGCATGGTATTTACACACACCAAAGACCCTTTTCACATTTCACGTTTCAGCCCTGGGGATAGGAGAGTACCACAAATAATTGTTTTAATTCAGTTAGCTCAAATAACAAAAGAAAAGCTCCACGATAGTGTTAATGACTTTCAGAAAAGGGGAAAATTGCATGAGACTAATAACGGCAGCCAGGAGAGAGAACAATGTTAAATTTACTGTTCCACCGACAGACACTGCATTAAAACACTCGCAAAAGGGTTTACTAATTTTTTTATAATTGAATGCAAAGATAATATAATGCAAAGTATAGTAAAGTATAAATGTACATATAAATATATATTTTTTTAAATATCTAAATTTGAAAAACTTTTGAGGGTTTAAGAAACTGATGACCTTTACATCACAGTCTCATTAATCAGACCTTCAGACTTATACCAAAGGTTGTGGACTCCAGTGCAGCATTCACTAGCCAAAGACCACTAGAGGTCATGTAAGCCAACAGATCAAAGTTTTTTAATATGACGATTAGGGGTGTGAAAATGCAACACCAATGTCCGTAAAATAAACAATTGGAGAGTAAATCTCTTGGATGAGTTTTAAAGGATGCCATAAGCTATACAAACTTTTTGTAAATCCAGCTGATCAAAAACATTATTACAGATTTAAACACATTTACTTTCTTCAATATACTTTCTTCCAAGCAAAATGCTAAAAACGCAAACATTGAATATGTCTAATAGGAAGCCTGAATTCATATCAGCTGCAAACATTTTGTATTTTGTGTGAATTAGATATTCAGCCTGCAGTCCATAAGTGGCCTTGAGCCATGACATCTGAGGATAAAGACTTTTTAAGCAGAGCATGATTAAATGCTATAGTATCTGGATGCAGCCTTTATGATGCAAGCTGAGATTGCATCACTCGATGTCAGACACAATGCACTCAAATGGAGAAAGTGACATCACTGTGAGGGGTAGGGTTAGGGGTGGGGTTAGGTGAGTCCATTAAAAAGCATTGGCTGCAGCTCAGATTGCACTGCACCAGGTCTGCATCCAGACCCCTCTCATTAAATGACGCAAATGTCAGATGTTTCATAAATCCCTATGAAGTTTTCCACAACAGGGTCGATCAATCACATTATTACCAAGCAAGGTTTTTTTCTTTTTATGACCAGTGTGTTGATTTTCCCCTTTTGCCCAATGATGAAATGGGCTGCCCAGTTAGATTCAAGCTTTAAAATCTAATGGAGCTGTAGCACATAAGCAGGTTTGAAAACCGGTGTCAAGTATTTGTAATGTTTGAAGTCTGAGAAGAAAGAATATTAAAAGTGACGAGATACAAACAGTCATGTTAGAAAAGTTAGAACACCTCAATAGAATTCTGTAGCTTGCGGTTTCAGTACATAATAAGAAACGTTATGGTCCTAGACAGGTCCTAAAATTTGTAAGATAGGTTAAGATTTGTAAGATTTAATTAACAAAAAAGAGTGACAAACTTCGGACAGATTCAGATGCCTGCAGATCCTCTATTAGGTGAATTACTCAGATCAAGTATCTAAGATTATTCCGGAGGAGTTTTGGAGTTTTTTAGCACAGCTCTCACCACAGCTTTTCAGTCAGAATGAGGTCTGGACTTTGACTGGACTATTGCAGCCCCTTGATTTTTTTCTATGTTTGGAATAATAAGCTTTATATATGCAGAGAACACTAAATTGCACAATGTTTTCAAGAAATATGGGGTAAAGGAAGGTGTCTGGTACATATGAAGAGGAAAAGAATGTCACCCAGTTACAATAGTATCTGGATGCAGCTTTTATGATGCAAGCTGAGATTGCATCACTCAGCGCTGCAATGTCAGACACAATGTACTCAAATGGAGCGAGTGACGTCACTGTGAGGGGTGGGGTTGGGTGAGCCCATTAAAAAGCATTGGATGCAGCTCGGATTGCAATGCACCAGGTCTGCATCCAGACCCCTCTTCCCAGTTGAGCCATTTGATTAGCAGTGCCTGACTAATTTTTTGTTAATATTATGTGTTGTTATCATCTAAGGTTTTATTTTTTAAATATTAAGAACTGCCAAAGATCAGATATTATATGTCGAAAATGTATAATGTTATAAGATGTCCAAACTTTTTCACATGAAAGGGAAAAAGAGCAGAATGAATTCTGTAGTTAGCAGATTTCCAAAAAAATATACTGTTGTGGTCTGTGCCACCTTGCGTGCAGGCATGAATCATGAGTCATTTCACATTTTGCATGAAAGTTTGTTGGCAATTTGGCTGACTTTATCGCACTGTGCTCTGTGCGTGCAAATTCCATTTTAATTCCCTGCACACACATTCATCTTTTATTATTTTTTAATTGCCATTTTCAAATTTCCTCTTCGAGCACTTGTTAAATTCAACAGCCCAAATGCATCTATTGGAGGCACATGTGCAAAATACTTAGTTCTCCCACGGGAATAGCAACAAACAGACAAATGAAGCATATTTTTGGCTTTAAAGAAAGTTTATCAGGGGTGAAATGTAAATTTAAAGTCATTTGAATGTTTTAGACCAATCTAAACCCTTTTTTTGTGTAATGCAGCTGTGAATGGCTTCATGTATGGGAACCTACCTGGCCTTGAGATGAATAAGGGGTCCAGGGTCAGATGGCATCTTTTAGGACTTGGCACAGAGATGGACATTCATGGCATTTACTTCCAAGGCAACACCTTCGAGAAACAGGGCACAACACATGACACTCTGAGCCTGTTTCCACACACTGCAGTCACTGTTTTCATGCAACCAGATGTCAGTGGTCAGTATCAGTTCCATACGTTCCCATTCCATGCTATTCCTGAAAATTGCATAAATTAATGCAAATGGCAAGACATTGGTTTGGTGTTTGCACTAAAATGTAAAGTGATTTTAAATACATTGTAAATAATTTACTGCAAAAGAGTGTCTATTTTAATGTTTCAGATAACTTTGTGAAAATAAAATGATTCTGGCTGTACTTATTAAACACTGTATATATGCGCAATATCACACGATTAGCAGTGTGGTAGGGCCGTATATTAGCACTGGTGGCATGTGTGTCCCACCAGTGACGATATACAGCCATATTCCAGTGCTACTCATGTGATATTGGGTTACACAACAGTTCGACAGCATAATCATGTATATAAAAAAGAAAATCAAACACAGAGTATCTAAAAACTTTTTTTGTATGAGAACCTACTTTTTTCAGCCATTCATTCACATCTGCAGTTGACATCAGTACAGCAGAAACCGTTGATACGTCACCAACGTCATTTTAGAGCTAGTGTTTGAATGATTCTCTAGCGTTATGTCTAAAGTGATGACAAAAACTGTTATTTTGCTGAAATTTTAAGATTATAAGGCTGAACGGCATGAAATGCCATCAATCTACAGAGATTTCCCAGTATTTCTCAGTTGCAATCGCGAGATCACAATGATTAACCTGACAAAGGCAAAGCAAAGCAAATGCTACCAGATTACTATGGTATAAATACAGCACTACAGCATACAAAAGAGAGAGATCAACTTACCACAACTGTCACTTACCAGTTTTATAATGATTTGATCAGCTGTTATTTGAAATTTTGCGCTGCGTTTTTCTTCCCTTAAGGATGTATTATGAAGTCTCTGTAACCATCTTAACAACTACACTCTCGCCTAATAAGTACATGATGTTGTCCAACGGCTGCAATATTCATCAAACTGTAGTGAGTCTATTGATTTGCTTTCATTCCATGTGGGTGGAGTAATACACAAGGGTGAATAGGCTGTATGAGTCCTCATATTGCAGAAAATCACACGGCTATAAGCCAATCAGATTTGAGAACCAGACAGAACTGCTGTATAAAAAAGAATAAGGGGTCATATTAAATTTTTTTATATTTCAAACTAATAAAAATGCTGACAAATAAATAAATGGCCAATCAATGTCGCTTTACACTTCCATTCTTTACTTTTCTTTGTTTTGTTTTTACTAAATACATATTTAATGTATTTGAGAGAAGGTTCTTGTGATCGGTTTTATATAAAAGTTTAAAAGTACAACAAAAATGTATTTTATGTTCACCAAGGCCAAATTAACAAAAAAATAAAACATTAAAAAATTTATATAATTTAAAAGAAAATGTGTTTAAAATAATGTTTTTTATTTATTTTCCAATTTATTTCTGTATTACTTATATTCATTCATTCATTTTCTTTTTAGCTTAGTAGCTTTATTAATCTGGGATTGCCCCAGCATAATGAACTGCCAACTTATCCAGCACATGTTTTACGCAGCGGATGCCCTTCCAGCCGCAACCCATCACTGGAAAACATCCACACACACTCATTTGCATGCATACACTATGGACAATTTAGCCTACCTAATTTACCTGTACCCCATGTCTTTGGACTTGTGGGGGAAACCGGAGCACCCGGAGGAAACCCACGCAAACATGAGGAGAACATGCAAACTCCACACAGAAACGCCAACCGACCCAGCCGAGGCTTGAACCAGCAACCTTCTTGCTGTGAGGCGAACGTGCTACTCACTGTTCCACCGTGCAGCCTGTATTATATTCTATTTATTTATTTATTTTTTATTACAGTATGCTCCAGTCCTTTAGTGAAAATTATTATAAAAAAGTAAAATAAATAAAATACATATTTAATTAAAAAAGGAAGATAATAAATAATAAATGTAAAATTACTGATAACCAAAAAATAAATAAATAAATAAGTGATCAAAAATAATAACTCATGATAATAATAATGATTTCTGAAGGATCATGTGACTGTAATGACTGGAAAAATGATTCAACTTAACCATCACAAAACCAAACTGATTTTTAAATATTTTAGCCATTTTAATAAATGTAACACTTCTTTTAATCAATAAATTAATAAATGGATGAATCAATAAATGAATTGATCAATCAATCAATAAATCAAAATATAATTCCTAACCTGCTACATGATAAGCTAGTGTGTCTTTTCTGTGACTACAGGTGTATTTGAGCTGAGCTGCCTAGTGTGGGATCACTATGATAGTGGGATGAGACAACTGTATGAAGTGACAGGACCAAGATATGAAGAGCCCTCAGTCTCACCATCTGAGACAGTGGAGTATTTCATCAGTGCTGAAGAGCTGGAGTGGGACTATTCGCCTGATCGCACATGGGAACTGCAGAACTTCAACACAACGGAGGATGAAAGGCAGGTCCATGTGCTACATGCAGCGTTTGTTGGTATTGCAGTGTTTGAATGGCTTCTGAAACCACATTTTTGTCTCAGTCCTGGCAGTCTATTTGTAGGAACAGGAGGAAACAAACTGGGCTCCAAGTATAAGAAAGTAGTTTATCGAGAATACACTGACGCCACCTTCAGGACAAGAATAGAAAGAGAGCCTCAAGAGACACACTTGGAGATTTTAGGTGACTCAGTTATAATAATTTACAATATTTTCTTCATTTGAATGCACAAATGATAACCTGTGTGTATTTTATAGGGCCTATGATCAGAGCTGAAGTTGGCCAGGTTTTGTTGATCACGTTCATGAATAAAGCTAGTCATGCTTACTCGATACAAGCACATGGAGTCAGATCTTTTACTTCAAAACCTGAGGCCGTCATGCCAGGTAGAGGAAGAAGAAACATCCACCATTTGTAAAGCACCACCTGCGAAATGTACAAAAAAGTTATTTCAGGGATTAATAATGAGGCTTTTTTAAAACCTTAATCTGTCTTTTAGTCAAACATTTACTAGGTTTTCCTCACTATGTGACATAGAATGTTGTTTTCTAGCAAACACAAATGAAACTGTTTACTGCAGGTAATATGACTCAGTACCAGTGGATCATTCCGGAGAAATCCGGTCCAGGCGTGTCTGATCCAAACTGCATTGCTTTTGCCTACTGCTCAGCTGTGGACTTTGTTAAGGTAAAGCTCTTAGTATTGGAAACTAAAGAGATTTAATTTCTTACAGTGGATAATAATAATCATAATATTACAATTTAATTTAAATTAATAATATTATTAATAATTACAATTTATGCCACTTTTAGTCAGACATTTAAAATAAAATAATATTTGTTGTAATATGTAAATAATAGAAATAACAATTATTAATATTAATTTATTCAAGAAAAATTTATTACATTTAAACAGTTTTAATATATTAATATTGTAACTTCAAAAAATATAAATGTTTAAATTGTATTTTAAAGAAAGAAAAAGATATTACCTCTAAATTTTAATAATAATTTTATATTAATATTATTGCTATACTTTAGTTTTTGGCTTTTGATGGTTTGTGTGCTATTAATAAAATAATGATAATAATAATAATAATAATAATAATAGTTATTAGTATCTTTTATAAATATTATTATAATCAAATATGATGCAATTACAATACTACTGTCGTTTATTCATTTACTACTACTATTTTGGTATTCTACTACTACTTATACCATTAATATCACTACTACTACTACTGCTGCTACTACTACTACTACTACTACTGCTACTAATAAAATAAATGTTATAAGTATTATATATATATATATAAATAAATATTATTTTAATCATATATGATGCACAGACAATACTATTGTCAATTATTCATTTATATCTAATAAGAGCTTGATTAGCTGGTTCAGGTGTGTTTGATTATGTTTGGAGCTAAACTCTCCAGTACACCGGCCCTCCAGGACCAAGTTTGGATACCCCTGATTTACTACTTTTTTGGTATTCTACTACTACTTATACTATTAATAATAATAATAATAAAAATAATAATAATAATAATAATACGCACTATGAAATTAAAATAGTATTTACTCTGAACAACAACTACACTTGTTATTAATTGATTTCTTTTTAGGATACAGCCAGTGGTCTGATTGGGCCATTAATGATCTGCAGGAAGGGAACACTGAACCAGGATAGACAGAGAACTGATGTGGACAGAGAATTTGCTCTCCTTTTCATGGTGTTTGACGAGAACAAATCCTGGTACCTGGAAGAAAACATTGAATCCTACTACAACAGCTCAGAACCTCTTCTAAGAGATGACGAGTTTCAGAAAAGCAACAAGATGTATGGTGAGAGGTTTCAATAGTTATCTATAATAACTATCCATTCTTCTGTAATAGGAAAAGAAATGTCAATTTGTGACCACTAGGAGGCATTGTTTGATGATGGATAAATGGAGGGAGATTTATTATTTTCTATTTCATATCAGAGCACAGTTTTAGAAAAGCAGATTTTAAGATAGATAACTATTTTCATGACACCAAACATTGCTGTTTTCTGTCAGGGATAAATGGAAAAGTCTATGCAAATCTTCGGGGACTGGAAATGGTGGTAGGGGAAAGAGTGGTCTGGTACTTGTTTGGGATGGGTAATGAAGCAGATATTCACACCGTCCATTTTCACGCTGAGACCTTCACCTACAAGGTGAAACAATGAGCATTGCTTATATTCACAAATATACACAATGAAAGACACACTAAACCAACTGAATGGCTCAAACTGCTTTTTCCAGACAGATCATACTCACCGTACTGATGTGTATGACCTGATTCCGGGGTCATTTCAGACATTAGAGATGGTGGCAGAGGTCAATGGAACATGGCTTCTGCACTGTCATGTCTCGCACCACATCCTTGGTGGAATGGACACCACTTTTATCATCAAACCTCGATCAGGTGAGCTACAGCTATAAGGCCTCAATATGTTTCAAATAAGCTGAATCAAAGTTGAACGGTGAATCAAAAAAAAGAATAATTTTTTAAGAATTTGAGAGAAATGTAATAGTTTAGAGTTCATAAAAAAATAAAAACAAAATTAGCTTAGAGTTAATTCTAGCAGTTTGAACACGTTGGGCAAATTTTGCCTAAAAGTTTGCTTTGGAAGCAGGGTTGCCAGATCCAAGAAAACTATCCAGCTCAAAACTCTTCCAAAAGGATTGAAAAGTAGCCCAATTACTCCCCCTTTTCCAATTAGAGTCAACTTTTATTCCCACAAAGAGAAATGTTTACCATATCTTTTCTGACATTTTGTGACTACTAGATTAGTGTAGATACAGTATATGTGTTAAAATACTGATGTACAGTACGCCAAACAACACCTCATATACCATTCTAAGATGTGGACGTAATGAATGGTCTGCTCATTTTATATGTGACACACTATGGGTTGTCAAATATGTATTCCAGGATCAACATTAAGAAACTATTACGTTTTTATTATGCATTTCTGAGAAAGAAACATTTACAGATCATGACAAGTTATGAAAGTAGCCTCAAAAAACACAACCTGCAACTTCCTATTTTTTGTCCAACTGTATTTTCCAATTGTGTAGATAAAAAAATCTGTAGTCCTGGAAACACTATGCAGCAGATACATAACTTTCCAAACAACCATTGGTCTGTGGTGACTGTAAGTCTGTCAAGGTCAGATATCTGCAAGTAAAAACTTACACTGTTGTAGTAATGGGGAAAAAATATATATAAAACATTCATTCATTTTCTTTTCAGGTTAGTCCTGTTATTATTCAGTGGTCGACAAAGTGGAATAAACCGATAACTTATCCAGCATATATTTTACGCAGCAGAGGTCCTTCCAGCCGCAACCGAACACTGAGAAACACCCATACACTCTTGCATTTACACAAATACACTACAGCTAATTTAGCTTATTTAATTCACCTATAGCAAAAGTCTTTGGATTAGTGGGGAAACCGGAGCACCAGGAGGAAACCCACACAAACAAGGGGAAAACGTGCAAACTCCGCACAGAAATGCCAACTGACCCAGCCGAGGCTTTAACCGGTGACCAAAACTCCATATGCTAGGCACACCTTCTGGTCATAATCATGTAATGCAACAAAATCATACATTTAAAATAGTATTTTTAAACATATTGCAAACTTTATATTAAAAGTTTAACCTATAGCTTATCCTATAATATGTATGTGTCTGCAAAATATCCCTGCTTTCATACATTTTCAAGGCTTAAATATTGTTTGTTCCATGGTGGGCTCTGCTAAACAGGCCCACGAAAGACTATTAGCTAATATTATTCCAACAAGCTAGCAAAACTTATCTGAGATCAGGTAAGTACAAGTGAAACCTGTTTTGTGATTTGCCACATGGTGGCGATCTGAGTGACCCGTTCTAGTGGATTTTATGACAGTACATAGAATAAAATAATATGATGAAATAGAATATGGTATTTTATTATGTAAAGCACCATTTAAGTTTTTAAATGTTTCGAAACAGTTATGATATTATGAAGCCCCGTTTACAGAAATCATGTGAGCTTGCTGATGTGATGCATTCTCCGAATCATTGATTTGAAACAAAAGATTTGTAACAGGTTCAAAGTTTCATGAAGCAGTACGAAAGCAGCCATCACTACACTCTAAAGCTGCTTTTTAGACAGTTGTAGTGCAATTCAAACTGGAAACAACACTAATTTATCATGCTCAGTCTTGTAATGCTGCTTACAATAAAATAATCTACTGTATAAAGTTCTATAGAAATAAACATGACATGGCAGCCTGATCTCACAAGGGAAAGTATTTTTCTGTTTTGTCAGTTTAGTGGCTAATTTGTACAAATTCAGTCGTATATGAAAATGTACAATTTTTAAAAGGAGGAGTATCACCAAAGCCCACCCCTAAACCCAACCATCATTGGGGGATGAGCAAATCATACTAAATTGTATGAATGAGAATGAGGATGATTTCGTTCAAATTAGCCACTAAATCAAAAAGTTACCAAAAATTGCCATGAGATGGACATGCAGAAGTGGCGAATTACAGAGCTTGTGCAAAAATCCACATCACAATGAATTCATGCTTTCTTAACGGCTGTTTTCTCAATGCTAATTTATTTGTTTGTTTAATTTGTTGCGAGGAAAACATGCAGAATGTATATTCAACTAAATTCGGGATGCAGGATTTGCTAACAGAATACTACTACCGCTGCATTTCAAACTTTTCCACACCTACAAAAATAAAAATAAAAAATAAATTACGGTGTGCATGTTGAGACCTGTAGTGGAATGGTATACCATTATTTACAGATGTTTACTCACAGATTATTGATCTGCTGTCTGTGGTTCTTATTTTTCAGGTGGTGACTCTGTGAGGAGAGATTTAAACATCATTTGTGTGCTGATCACAACATTTATGTTCAAACTCATATATTGATCCTTCTGTAGACATATACTGTACTTAAATACTCTTAACAAATATATTTAAGCAGTGTTCAAAAGTTTAGGGCCAGTAGGATTGTCTCCCCTCTTATGATCACCAAGGTTTAAGAAAAATACAGTAAAACCTGTATTGTGGAATATGATTAATTTCAATTTAAAAGTTTTTTGTTTGTTTGTTTGTTTTGTTTTTAGTGTCAGTTCTGCTTAATATTTTTGTGGAAACCATTTTTCCCCAGGATTGTTTAATGAAGTAAAAAAAAGCAATTGTTTGAATTAGTTTATGTAACATTGCAATTTTTTTGTGTTTATTCATTAAATTTCTTTCAGCTTAGCTCAGGGGTCACCACAGCAGAATGAACCACTAACTACTCTGGCACATGTTTTGTGCAGCGAATATGCTTTTTGTTGTAAATTTTAATCAATTTAACTCATACTGAATACAAATATTTTCCAAAATCACACTGCCCCTAAAACTTTAAACATTATTGTAAAATTAGTATTTGTGCTGAAATTACAATTTAAGTATCTGTTTAGACTCACAGTGCTTGTAGATTTGAGATGATTTGCTATTGATTTATATATCAAAATAAAACAATTATCAGCATTGAAATGTGAAACTCACTGTAATACCCAGTGAGAGAAATTCCCTTAAATCCCACCAGAGCAAAGATATGTTAATAAGCATTTGCTTTCAATTTCATTTGAAGTCCTTTAAATAAAGATTGCCTCGATAGTTATGAATGTAAAATGGTAAAGTCATGAATTTCTCAAGGCTGTTTGAAAAAAGGAACTGAAATCACAGAGGACGTGTTAAAGTGAAAAACAAGTGTGAGCTGATTGGAGCTTATGTAACTTGGTGAGCAGTTGTTTTTGTTCCTCTTGGTTCGTTTGATGTGCTCTTTTTCAGCTTAGAGCTTGGAGTTCTCAAATGACTGTACTTCATCACGTAGACTTCAAGTAATCGGAGGATTATGATGTAAAGAAATGAACTTTGTCAGTAAACATTTGACTTTACGTCCTCAAGTGACTTCATAGAATATTGTCAACATCTTTGAATGGTTCCTATATTTCTTATCACAACTGCTGTTTTGCAAAGATAGCTGGCTAAAACCCCCTGATCAAGCATTTACTCTTCACAGTGATAAAGTGAGAGGCATTGATCACATACGTGAAAGAGGCCATTAGCTCACAATGGGAAAGAATGCAAAGCTGATTTAAAAAAAACAACCTCACTGACACCCTGAAATGTATCATTACTCGTTTTAAGGAAGAAAAAAAAAACTAGGTGAATAGTATAATATAATATAATATAATATAATATAATATAATATAACAAAACAAAATGTGTGTGCGTGTATACATACACACACAATTAACTTTTTTTTTTGTGTCTGACAGATATCAGTCATCAGTCACACTGATATGACAGTGATATCAAGTTTTGCTGATTAGGGTGATCAAATTCTTTCATGCAATGATTTAGCCTAATCGAAAACACCAGACTAGCGTGCGAGCAGCTGTCTTAGCGGTTGTTTGTAAAAAAATGATGTTTAAATGTTTGTAATAAGGTTTATAAGTAGATTGAAAGTAATACCCAGTCACAGCTTTGCGCTTGTCAGAGCAGGTCCCCCAGAACGCGCACGCGAGCGCGCACAATCTCTATAACACGAGGGCGACGTGTTTCGAGAATAACAACCTGATTTACACCCGGTATCTGCAAGAGCCTGTACTGTTGAAAACTGCCGTGTTTACGACAAAAAAAGCAATATAAATATATCTGTAAAACATTTCTGTCACTTAATGTGAGCGTGATACATTTCTGTGGCCAAAACTATTACGTGTTCATAATTTCCATGGGACCAGCTTAACCTGGTTTAGATGAATTTGACAGAAAAATGGGTCAAGCAAGGTATTTTTTCTTCAGCTTGTAGTTAATAAATTAAACAATGAGGTAACTTCCTAGCCTCACTCCTTCCAGACACTTCGAGCTGTTTTTGTTTATTTCTGACGATGACACAGTTTGCTGCCTTGTTTTTTTCAGACTTATCTACAATTGTGCAGTTCAGCAGATTAACTTTTGCTGCCCCTGATTCCTCACAGAGAAAGAAAAACAAAATTACAAACAAGTAATGCAGAGCAATTTTGTTTCAGCTAATTACCTGCATAGCTGTATTTTCTTAGAGACTTATCTTCATACATCTTCAGATGTCAATGCTTTGCCAGGTATAATACACATTTTAGGAAATACATTATAATCAATACACTCTGTCGAAAAAAAATTGATTTCAGCGTTGATGATAAAAGGGGTTCCTCGATAATGAGGTGAGTAACCTAAAAACTATTTCCTGCAGGGCATCAAACCCATTTTACTCGTTTTTCCAAACGCAGATAAACAACTGCAGGCTCACCTGTGGACGGCCCGTGATTTTTCAGTGCAGCCTGACACTCGCAGCTGATTGGCTCACGGATGAATTCAGCCTCCTAAAGCAGCCAATAGAAATGGTCCGATGCTTTCCTCACATGAAACCGCTATAAATTAGACAGTCGCTCAAAAAGAAGTTCTTAGTAAGTGCCGGTGACAGCAGGAGGACAGAGAGGGGAAGAGAGAGCAAAGGCATCAAAGCGTCCACCACTCTGCACTAAAAGGCTACAGAACTTGTTTGCCTGTCTCTCAAAGGTTTGTTTTTTATTTGTATTAATTTTTACAAATATGCATTAAATGCAATGTTAGTATATTCAATTCAAGACAAAGAATATTATTCTTACATTTAATCACGTTATTTCCTAATTTCCTAAAATGCATGTGTATTTGATGTAAAAGCAACTCTAAGATATAAATGATAAATGTCAAACAGATATAAATCTAGATAAGTTTAGAACTTAATATCCTTTTGTTCTATAGCTTTTATAAATCTCTCTTTTATATCTTACAGTATGTCTGATCAATGTGTGGGGTCTACTATAATATGAACTATGTAGTTTTGGGACTCCTCCCAGTAACTAGTATTGCTCTGATCTGCAAAGGAAACAAACTTACTTTGAAAAGTGTAATTCATGCCAAAAAAAGTGTGAAGTGGTTTCAATGGATCGACACATCTTAAGAGCTCAAGAATTTAACAAAAGCACATGCTTGCTTTAATACTATTATTAATGTCTTTATTTTCTACAGCACATTTCTAAATAACTTTTAACCTGCTTTTTCCAATAAAATTCCTCCAATATATTTACTTTTTTTTGTTCCATAGACTGTGAGGTTTGATTCCACCAGACTCAGTCGACCACCCTTTTCCTCTACTGCCTGCTTTCCTACTCCTTGCAGCCATGGCACCCACTCTGGCCACAGCGTTTGCCCGTCGTTGGTGGATGGCAGTAACAGCCATCATTGAAAATCTGCTGTTCTCTGCCGTGCTGCTGGGCTGGGGTTCCTTACTCATCATGCTGAAGTCTGAGGGCTTTTATTCATACCTCTGCACAGATCTAGGTAAGAGTTACTTTTTACCATTTTATCTGATGCCACAGAAAAATTCCACAACAAAGTAAAAATGATATATTTATATATTTACACTGATAAGAACAATATTTTACATTCTAAATAACCTCAGGGTGAATACTTCTTAAAGGGTTAGTTCACCCAAAAATAAAAATTCTGTTATTTATTATTCACCCTCCTGTTGTTCCAATCCCTTGAGATTTTCTTTCATCTTCAGAACACAAATCAAGATATTTTCGATAGAGCCCCTTAATTTATCCTCCACATACAGCAATGGTCCCGAGACAATCAATGTCCAGAAAAGAAACCAAAAAACCCAAACATTGCTCATAGTAAATGAGCACTCTGATTAGATGAATTAGAAGATAATTTACAATTTTTTGACAAACAACCATGTTTTTGGAGTTTCATATAATTACAGTTGTGCTACTGAAGTTACATGGACTATTTTGACAATATTTGTAGTTATTTTTCTGAACTTGAAATGTCTCAGAACTGTTACTGTCTATGGAGGATTGGGGAGCTCTCAAATTGTGTCTAAAATATATTAATTTAAAACTAAATGAGTGATCTAACCCATTCAAACATTTTTTCCTCATTACTAAGATAGTAAGCCTCATAATATATGTTCATTTAACAGTACTCTCAGTGAGATGAAATCTGAACATAAATATAAGAGACATTTTAACATGCTAACACAAGGTGTAAATTGTAACAGCTCTTGGCTGAGTACTTGTGATTTGATCACTGAAAATGATACCAAGTAGAAACAGGGTCTTAAAGATTTTTAAAGAATGATTATTAAAGGTTCTTCACTGAACCACAAATGCATAAAATGATACACTTTTCTGAAGAACCAATGCAACATCAACAATGAGAAGTCAAGAAACCTGTGTAGGAACTTAGAATAGTCACTGAAGAACAGTGGGATCACAAGTCAAGCCTGTGATTTTATCTATCATGCTTTGTTTATTGGTCAGTATGCAAATTGGCAAATTCCACTTAACTATTCTTTCAAATCTTATCGTAAAAGCCCATAAAGACCATCTAACAGTACTGGTAGGATTCTACTTTTAAAGCCATGTGTATTGTTCAGTAATAAGTCTCTGACAGTAGCGTTTAATGTGGTGTAACTGATTGCTCTTCACAACAAAACACTTTTGTGAAGATTTCCCTCAGGAGCCTCACAGCCACAGACACCACCACAAACTTTCAGTAAATCAGCTGGTAGTCACAGTTGCTAAAACACTGGAATGTTGAATGTTTTTAACAAGAGCCCTGACCTAATCAAATGCACCTTTAAATCGAGAAGGCCTAGAGTCTGTTTGGTGTTATTTTAGATGTTTACCTTCTCAGTTAGAACCTCAGACCTACTGATTGGCTCGACTGATTGAACTGATTGTTTTTGGTATTGATTAGCATCACATAAGAACATGTTTTTGTCTTACTGTGACTGGTGATGCCCTTTTATCGCTATCTTGTTCTCTCTCTGAAAGCATTGGGCTTGATTTAATAGAACATGGGGACATTGAGACCTATTTAACCACAAAAGCTGGTTTGAAATTTCAAGGCAGACAAGAAGAAAGGGGGCAAAGGAGGGGCAGAATACAAGAAAAAGAGCTGTTTGTGAAGGAAACTGTAGGAGGCTTATCGTTTGGGTAGATCTAGGAATACCACTTCTTCTGGGCAGAGTGGTGGGTATCTTACGTGTCTGTCTGTCTGCTTGGCATGACACTTTTGCATGGGAAAGTGCTTATGTCATTAGTTCTTGCTGCTGTCATAGTTCCTGTTTTTTGACAGCACTCAGCTGATTGACTGCCCTTTTGGTCAGTCACATTATTGTGATGTAATAAATCTGTCTCAGCGAGAATCATTTGTGCACAAGACAGTTCTCAGCACTCTTAAAGTCCACAGATAAGTCTCAAAGGACAATGTCATTTGTCAGCATTCACATTCTTCATCTTTGACCATTTTTGAATGATGCGAAGCATATGAGGAGGACTCTTGTGGTTTAGTCCATGAGCTGAGAATTTGCATTTGAGCTGCAATCTTTGAAGTAATCATGATAACAGTTCTTTATCACATTCCCGCTTTCTTTGAAATTAGGTTTGGGACACTTTGTAAGGTGCATGTAGCTCATTCACAATCTGTTCCTTACAGTACCTTTTATCAGATCTGGCCATCAAGCTAATAGCTGTGAATGAACAGAACAACCCCACCTTGTTTTGGCTCCCACTTGTTCCCCAATCAGTACCTAAATCTCTGAATTAATTTAGTTTAATCTTTACAAATTCTTTTAGGAATGTTTGTTCAGTGTTAGTTCAGAGTTAGTGCTTCAATTCAGATTATTAGATTAATTTAAAGATTTTTATGTAAAAAATTCCCAATTTAGATTTTTACTCAGACCGTATTTACAGTACACTTAGTCTTAAGATTCATTTCGACCGTCCAATCATAAGATGCTGCATAAAAGTATTAAAGAGGTCTAAAGTATTTTGGGCTTGTCCAGTGTTGACCATTTATATAGAAAGTGGAATTATGCATTCAATTAAATTGGTTTCATAGTGTACACGATCACGTGGTCAAATTCGTCTAGACAGTTTGTCTAGACAAAAACTAAACACAAGTGGACATGTTTATCGCTCATGTGGTGTCACATGAGAGATATACATTAATACCATGTGTAATGTGTTTTACCTGAGCCCTGAAAACATGTTAATGCTAGTTGGAAACAGGACCTAAGATATCTCAGGTTGTTAGCTGATCAGAAAACAAGTGAACAATGACACAAAAGCAATATCAATTATTTATATCGCTATCAATCTCAAAGCTATCCAGAGAAGACAGTTTATTACAGTGAGGTTAAGTAATAAAGCCTTCAATTGAGGTGCATTAGGTTCATGTATGTTCCTCTATCATATCCTTCTTCACGAAACTGATTTTTTGCTAAGACCAGGTGACTGCTATCTTTCTAGGTGTGTCCTGCCATTTGCAGATCAATATGGTCTGTGTACACCATCTTTTGGAGGCTCACCAGTGGGAACTCCATTCGCACATTAGCATAGCTCTAGGAACAAAGCCAGAGTAAGCCTTAGTTTCCTAGCAGACGAGGGGAAAAACCCAACCCCTCACGTGCGGTGCAGAAAAGTTCACAACCGGGTGTCAAACACGTCAGAACATTCCGCACTGAGATCTGAAGCATGCTGGATGTTGGAAAGTTCCTCCTTTGTTGTGGAAGGAGGACACGTGCATCAATGGGATGACAGTGGCACGATTGAGCGGATGATTATAGCAGTGTCATTTTTCAGATACCATCGCAAGGTTTGAAAGAGAAAGTCTGATTCACTCGCACTTCTCAATAAAAGTGTAATGCGACCAGATTTAGCATATTTCAAAGAAATGTCACCCATTAGCGGGTAAAATAAGAAAACATCCAGATTAGCATTAGGTCAGGTTTGATTATCTAGTTTATATGTCTCCAGTGAGCCGGCAGCTATTAATGGAGTGTCACCTGGCTCAGTATCAGTGGTTTATGTGCGTGGCAAGATAAAGTGGAACAGGATTGTACAATAGTCCAAAAGGACAATTGTATACTGTATATATATGTTCCAGCAGCAGAACAAGATAAAGGAAAAGCAAATGTTGAGCTTTTTCCTTTCTATCATTCCCAGCCCTTATCTCCATTTTATGAAGACCAAATAATAGTGATTCCTCATTCCAAGCATTTTACTGCTGGGTGAAGGTTGATCTCAGACACTTTGGAGAACAGCTGAGAAGACCAGGTTAAACTAGAATTAATTCCAAGCTGGTTTATGGGTAATTAGACAGCCTAGTTCTATTAAGCAAGATAAGACACTGGCAGATGCTAATCAATGAACAATCCCCAGATTACATCATTTATCAAGAACAAAATGCAGATTCAAATGACTGATACCAACAGATGTGACATGGGTAAAACACTGATGCAACAAAATCTGTAAAAGTATCTGCTGGTGTTTGATGACGTCTTATTGTGCAGAGTGAATTGGCCATAGTGGGCGATGCAGTGGCGCAGTAGTTAGTGCTGTCGCCTCATGGCAAGAAGGTCGCTGGTTCGGGCCTCGGTTGGGTCAGTTGGCATTTCTGTGTGGAGTTTGCATGTTCTCCCTGCGTTCGCGTGGGTTTCCTTTGGGTGCTCCAGTTTCCCCCGCAGTCCAAAGACATGTGGTACAGGTGAATTGGGTAGGCTAAATTGTCCAAAGTGTATGTGTGTGTGTGTGCGTGTGAATGAGTGTGTGTGGATGTTTCTCAGGGATGGTTTGCGGCTGGAAGGGCATCCGCTGCGTAAAAACATGCTGGATAAGTTGGCGGTTCATTCTGCTGTGGCGACCCCGGATTAATAAAGGGACTAAGCCAAAAAGAAAATGAATGAATGAATGAATTGGCCATAGTTCCATAAAGCTCAACACAACAACATCAAAAAACGTACTTCCTGTAGATCACAAAGTATATTTCTAAACTATTGTGGTTCAGGCACAATGACTGAGTTTTATGATATAGACTAGAACAAAATCTAGTCCACACATTCTGTAAATTGTAATCTTGTGTCTGTGTTTCGTCAAGAAACTAAATCATAGAGGTTTGGAACGATACACATTTTTCACAGCATTCTAGTGAGGTTGTTGCTATTGGTCAGTTCCATTTACAGATAATTCCAAGGCCAGAAGCAATATTGGAGTTCTTAACTTTAGTAACAGCCCACTGATCATTCCACCCATGCTGTTGGCAAGGCCACAGAGTGCATTTTAGGAGAAATTCCAGTCATGAGCTTCAAGGAACTATCATGAGGTATAGAAGTCTGCACGTGCAGCATCTGTGTGGTTGGACACCGACCAGAATTACAAGTGCCTGATGCTTATATCATCGAATAGGGTTCATAGCAAGGATGCACGTGACTGCTCTCACTTTTTCTCCCTCAGTTTTTACACTAGCATTTGAGTTTTCTCACTCTCTCTTTGTGAATTAACAGAAATAGTAACCTGACGAGTAGTAGACTGGATATAATATCAGCACTGTTCACATTGCTTTACAAGCAATAAGGGCTTTCAAAATTTGATCAATTCAGAGAACTTTTAGTGGAAGTATCCACTTTTTGGAGTGTTTGCACAGCAGGAACTATGAACAATTTTTGTTCTGTCAGCCAAATTGCATCACTTTAGAGTTTCTAGTGTTGTTGCAAATGCAACAAGGAAAATTATCTGGGGGTAATTAGTTCTCGATGATATTTCTGTAACTACCCAATGCAAAAGTCCCTATTGTAATGGATAAGATGGTTTCCAGTTAAATCAACTTCTCAAATCTCTCATCTGTCTCTTCTTTTCCAAAGGAAACAGCTCAATGGCAAACTTCTCCTTACCAGCTGTGCCTTCATCGCTGGCAAATGATCCAGATTATGAATATGACGAGTTCCAGCCCTCCAGTCGCGATGATGGGGTTGAAGTGGTCCCTCTAAAGCATCCAGAGGACCACCTGAGGATGAACGGCTGGCTCATCTGTAAAGAACAGGATGAGATGTTGAATCTGGCCTTCACTGTGGGCTCTTTTCTCCTCAGCGCCATCACACTCCCACTCGGGATCGTCATGGACAAATACGGACCACGCAAACTCCGCCTGCTCGGAAGGTAAACAACAAGGGCCTAATTTGTCCATATCAGAACTCAGTATAGTGATTCTGGGTCTCCAGTTTCACTTGGCTTAAATAGCACTCTCATTCAAGGGTAATTGGTTTAACTATTATATCCGTGTCAGTACTTTACCAGTTCCATGAGCAAGATGGCAAGAATCGGAAAAGGGAAATTGTTACATTAATAATTGAGTGTACCTTTGAATATCATATCTTTCTTTCCAGTGCCTGTTTTGCCCTCTCGTGCCTTATGATTGCTTATGGAGCCAGCAACCCAAATGGTAAGAAGAACATACATGCAACTCGTGTTCATATTAATTGAAACAGATGGCAAAATGTGTACATTTTTCAGTATAAGAGATTAAAATCTGCTCATTTTTAATAGAACTCTCTGTCCTGATCTTCATTGCTCTGACCTTTAATGGCTTTGGAGGAATGTGTATGACCTTCACTTCACTTACGGTGAGTGTGTGTGCTAACTAATTCATGAATGTACAACTGTGCTACCTTTTTTTGTCTTTGAATGAGCTTGTTTTGAGCTGCCTGAAATATTTCTACACTGTTTAGTTATTAGGCTGTAACTGCCATGAACAATATCGGGGATTCATCTCTTGTTATGCTCTTTGAAATTATGCATTTCAATGTCTAAACACTGGATCTGCAGCGGTCAGGTGGTTCAGTGGTCATGTGGTACAAGTTGTAGTTCTCGATTGCAAGTTTTACGAGAACGTGAATGATTTGTACCAGTTGGAATCTAATAATTAAACCTTGGTTCTCAAATTATTACATCTGATGCTACATCCAGGCTGTAGTTAGAGGTCTCCACTTCTTTTTCCACATCCCTCATTTGAGTGTCTGTCAAGCGTGATGCAGTAGGTTAATCATTAGATCCATCTGTGTGTCTTACATCACTGTTTTTCCTGCTGACTCGCTCTTGTCGCTGTCCTCGCACCACGCATTAACTCCTGATGATGTATCCAGTGTGCTGACCCAGTAAGAATAGCCTGTGGTTATTATGTGCTCAGCATGATCTAAGGAACTCTATGACCATGAACTCACAGGAAACACCTTTACCCCTAGTACAAAATTAACTTTTGCCACACAAGCTAAAAAATGTAAAACTTATCTGCCAAACAAAGTGGAGAGAATAAAGCTTTTTTTCTTCTTCTGATGCTCTGGTCCATTTCTGGAATATCAAAGGAGAAATCTTGTGCTAATCCGCTTCATGGCAGTGGAAACATCAAGCTCCAATGAAGACACAATAGTATCACAGAATGATACCATTTACACATTCCATGTGTTTTGAGAGTCTGGTGATTAAAAAAAAAAGTATTATCCCAAAAATATATATTCTGCTTATCTAAATGTGTTTAAACTGGACTGTCAGATGACTCAGGTCTGAATGACTATAATAACTCACAGGCAGATACATTTTCATCAATTGCACATAGACAGTATTTTTGTCGCATTTTTCATTTATTTAATAATTAATTTTCCTTTCGTCTTAGTCCTTTTATTAATCCAGGGTCGCCACAGCGAAATGAACCGCCAACTTATTCAGCATGTATTACGCAGCGGATGCCCTTCCAGCTGCAACCCATCATTGGGAAACATCCATACACTCCCTTTTACACACATACACTGGATATTTTAGCTCACCCAATTCATCTACAGCGCATGTCTTTGGACTGTGGGACAAACCGGAGCACCCGGGGGAAACACACGCAAACACTGGGAGATCCACAGCCATATAACCTTGCAGCCCAAGACCAGTTACTCACTGAAGAGAAGCAGGGCTGAGCCTGGTCAGTACCTGGATGGGAAACCACATGGTAAAAGTAGGCTGCTGTTGGAAGTGGTGTTAGTGAGGCCAGCAGGAGGCGTTCAATTTGTGGTCTGTGTGAGTCCTAATGCCCCAGTAAAGTGAAGGGGACACTATACTGTCAGCGAGCGCTGTCTTTCGGTTGACCATTCGCATGGTCATTAAAAATCCCACAGCACTCCTCTTAAAATTCATTGGCCCTTACTGATCATGGCCTCCCAGTCATAGCAACTCAAACCTAACTATGTGGTAAGAACATTACCCAGTTGTTAAATCAATAGTTACAAAAAGTAACAAAGACAAAAATAAAGTGCAAGCAGATATTCTGATTAATAAGAGAGATTCATGAAAGCACAATTAGACAAAAACAGTCAGGATTGTTGTTAGATAATACAGTCAAATCCAAAAGCCCTTAAAATATTCCAAGTGTCACATGGGATCATTCTCTGATATTTTCACATAAACAAACCATTCCACACCATTGTTGATAATAATGGTAGTGTACTTTGTTGTGTTACAGTGGCACATAACCAGTGATGGGAATAATGGCTTTATAAATAAACGCATTACTAACGGCAAAACTTTTTTTAGTAACGAGTAATCAATTGAATTACTGTTTCCCCCATTACAATGCTGTTACCATTACTAACAATAAAAAATGTGCGTTACTATAATTGAGAAAACTAAAGCTTTTTTTCATGCAAGCCGTGTCTCTCTCAACCATGAACAGTCATGTATGTATCGTACAACTTATGCCCAGTAAAAAGAGAGTCTTTGCATCAGTGATGAGTAATTCAAATTTAATGAAGCACCTCGTCGTCACGTGCCGCCACAAAATTTGTGGCTACGCAGGTGATAATGTGAGCTCTGCTACCAAAGAAGGAGATGAAGCCACTACGTCAAAGCAAATAAAACTTAATTTTTCCCCACCACAAACACTTATTACTCAGACAGAATTAAACTAAATACTATCTATATAGTTGAGGACATGCTGCCGTGTCTCTCATATTGTCCACAACAACATTAAAATAGTGTAAATTAGTGTCCAATGTTTTTAATTTATTTTATAGTCATTTGACAAATTTTTTTTAAGGTAACGAAATAGTTATTTTCACTTTTATAAATATGAAATGTAGTTACTAACTCAGTTACTATTTGTAATAAGTAACTAGTAACTATAACTAATTCCTCCTTTAAATGAACGTGCCCAAAACTGCACATTACAGTCGATTTTGGAGAAGATTTTCACACCAGTTTTAACAGGATTCCACGTTGAGTCTACAGCACAACTCTTCCATTACGAAGCTGCTGATCACAGCCTTTCAAACGCATTGTTACGTAACAGGACACTTGCTGTTGCTCATCCACTTGTTGTCACAGGAACAAGGCATAACTGTAGGCAGGCCGCCCTGGTCCAGGCTCCAATTAGAGTCAGGCTTCAGCCGGTTTAGACTGGACGGATCATTCCTGTTACTGCCCTAGTTATTTCTCTTTTATTGACTGAGAAACCGAAAGAAAGTAATGTATATGAAAAAAGGGTGGATTAAGTGTGCACAAACCTTTTGACGCCTCTAAATTGTGCTGATGGACTTAACGTTTTCTGGTTCTCTGTCACATGTTCTTTCTCTCTTTCTTTCTTTCTCTTTTTCTTTCTTTCTTTCTTTCAGTGGCCATCCTCATTCTCTCGTTATAGTCAGTGGCTCTGAACTGAAACGGCTTTCATTGGAGATTTGTTATGCTTTCGTCAGCCCATAATTGTTGGCCATCTCTCCATGTCTGCTGCCATTTTTAGAGAAAGAATGTGGATTAATTTTCTTTTATGTTCACAGCAGTCACATTGTGTAAATGCTCTCGATAAACACAGTTCGAATAAGAATTATGTTTTAAGATCACAAATAATTTTATTAATCATAAAGTAATAGTTTTCTCATCAGAATAATTAAATTTATAGAATATGAACAAAAAGTAATATTTATGTAAATACTAGATTTTTATATACCAGATCTCTAAATATCCAGATTTATGTAAACTATATTATTTTAACTGAAAAAAAATATTTTTCTCATATAAAATCTAACCAAATAACAATCTGTTATTCTTAATAATTATAAATATGTTTGAAAAATATTATATAGCATTATTTTGTATAAATGAACTGTATAAACTGTCAAGACTGATGTGGAGTATTTTAATTATATTATTAAAAATACTAATAATCAAATAAAACAATAATAATCAAAATAAAAAAACATCCAGACTTTATGTTGTATTTATATTTATAGTGATATTTTTATTGAATAATAATAAAGAATATTATATACCACACATAAATAAATTACTCTGTCTCTCTGTCTAAAGTTATTTCTAACCAGATTACTTATTTACCTCTTCCCATGTTTTCTTCCAGTTGCCCAATATGTTTGGTGACCTGCGAGCGACCTTTATCGCACTCATGATCGGCTCATACGCTTCCTCTGCCGTCACCTTTCCAGGGGTTAAGGTATGTTCACTCAAACAACAAGAAGAAAACCTGTAGTATGTATAGTTCATCCACATTATGTTCTCTTTATTAATTGTGTGCTGTCCTTACAGGTGATCTATGATCTGGGTATAACCTTCATCATGATTCTGGTGGTCTGGGCTGGTTGTGCAGGCCTCGTCTTCATCAACTGCTTCTTCAACTGGCCCCTGGAGCCTTTCCCTGGACCCGAGGACATGGACTACACGTAAGTAACACACATAAAACTCTTTTATATGGCTGACTATGTGAAGATATGTGAGGTTAAGAGGGAAAATGTTTTTCTGTATATTGTTCAATTTTCAATTTTAAAGACCGTGTGAAATTAATAATTGTTACTTTTAAGGATGTCTATAATCTAGTGTGCTCCAAAACAGTGACAACTATAATTTAGAAGATATAAACCTTGTCCAAACATCAAAACTTTGCAGTTTGTCACTTCCGTGTAAATGGATCAATGATTATTTTGACGTTTGACGATTATTTATCGTCATCTCAGATTTCAATATCTCATCAAATCTTCAGACCAATGCTCTCTAGTTTCTGACATGCCCCGCCTTCTTCAAGACACTTCTCATTTGCACTTTTTTCATGCGCTTGTGCTCAAACTGCTCTCAATGACAAAGCTGTGATACTAACTAAATGCTATTGGCTACCAGACTTTATGCAGAATGTACGAACACAATTTTATAAAAGCAGTCATTTTCAAATGATTTAATGTTGTAGAATTAGGAAAAAATAATATGTAGGGGTTTAATATATAAAAGAAAATTAATATTACCAAAACAATAATAGTTTGATTATTCACAATAATCCAACAGACAGAATCATGATTTTACAAAACCATTACATTGTGCCTTTAACATTTTGTGATTGGTGAGAATAGAAAGGATTCAAATAATTTTAAATGCTGACCTACAAAAGCAGACATAATAACTGTGGACACTAAATGTCTCTGCAATTACAGAATCAATCACCCGAATGCATCAAACTAACACAGATGCTCATTTTGCATGTTTTCTGTCTTTCAGCGTCAAGATCAAGTTCAGCTGGCTGGGATTTGACCATAAGATTACAGGAAAGCAGTTTTATAAGCAGGTGACGACAGTGGGCAAGCGTCTTAGCGTGGATAACACTCAGAAACAAAAAGAGCTTGCCAAAGAAGGTCACAAACTCTGCTTGTCCACTATGGACCTGGAACTGCAGTGTGAGCCCAAGGAGGAAAGTAAGTCAGAATGTCTCATAATGAAGACCACAATACTCTAATGGCAATGTTGGTGATAATAATACATTTAGACTGACTTGTTTTGTTGTTGTTGTTGTTGTGTCCAGCTCAGTCGTTCATGAAGAGTATTTTCAGTCCTCTCTTCATGTTGAGTCTGGTGACCATGTGTGTAACTCAGCTGCGTCTCATCTTCTACATGGGGGCCATGAATAACATCTTGGAGTCGCTCAGCGGAGGAGATCTGAACACAGGTGAAGAAGGATGTTTTAATAGGATTAAACAAATTATGGGAATAATATGGGAATACAGTAAAAGCAAAACTGCCCAAAAATAAAGTTTTAATACGGATCATTCAGATATTTGAAATCAACTACAACCATCTTTTCTCTGGGTAAAAAATATTTCAATTGTGACACATCATATATCATATAGGCTTTTAAGAACTTAATTCACATATCTAAACAATAGCAATAATTATATTTTCTTTGAATAAAATAGCACAAAATTATTTAAGTAATATAGTATTTTTTAAATTGTGAGAAATGATAAAAATATGATTATTAAAATATATTAAAAATAAATTTTCTAAACAAATTTTTTTTTTAAATATTTGAATGATAAATTCTGAATTTGAATGATAGATCCTGATACAGTGGGGAAAACAAGTATTTAACATATCACCAGTTTTCTCAAAAACATATTTCTAAAGGTGCCGTTGACTTTCCACTAGATGTTAGTAACAACCAAATAAATCCATATATGCAAAGAAAATAATATTAATCAGTTCACAAATTAAGTTATGTAAAATGAAATGACACAGGGAAAAGTATTGAACACATGAAGAAAGGGAGGTGTAGAAAGGCAGTAAAAGCCCAGACAGCAGCTTAAGGCCCCGTTTACACTAGTGCGTTTTAGTTTGAAAACGCATAAGTTTTGCTACGGTTACGCCATCCGTCCACACTACGCCGGAGTTCTCGAGCGCCGAAAACGGAGCTTTTTGAAAACGCTGGAGAGGCCGTTTTCATTCTGAAACGCTGCTGCTCCGTCTCAGTGTGGATGGGGAAAGACGGAGACATCTGAAAACGGAGGCGGGGCTGCAAACGTTCGCCTATTTGATTGGGGCTTTTCCCTCAATATTAAGTAGCCCACACAGTTCAGTCTCGCATCATCTTATTGTAAGTTAAGACTTCGCAAGTTTGATCAAGGCTGCAGTCTCCCCCTTCTCAGTTTGATATGGAAAACATACCGAGGACACGGGTAAATCTTCAAAGGGAACAGTGTACTCTATAACTTCATTCACATCACCCTGGCTACGTTGTTTCACTTTCTCAACAATAAAATGTAAACATGATTTAAGGAACTGCCTATTTTCATTTTAATATTAGCAACTTAACAGACAGCAGAAATGTTGAGGCGCCGTGCTGCATATATGAGCGTCATCTTCACTGTGTGGATATTTATAACAAAACGGAGCCGATAACAACTGCCTCCTTTCAATTTCAGTGAAAATACGAAACACACCCTCTCTTTTGCTGAAAATCAGTTTTAATAATCGATAATTATAAAAGTATAACATGCAATAAGTTTATACATTGTAGGAAATAAAGACGAGCGATCAGTCAATGTACCTGGATTAATCATTAACTTATCTTTGCGCTTAACCAAAACATGTTACCCGTGAACAAGTAACTTAATAGATTCCAATGACCAAAGTCAGGGAATTGGCCTATGTCGTTAGATAAAGACAACAACATGAATGAAATATCACGTTTAGCAAATATAGGGAGATTAGATCCAGCGGGAGATGCGTGATGTGCAGCCCGACAAGCAGAGCTCTCATCTGGGTAGAAATGCTGGAGCGCTTGCCCGAGAGTGTGTGTGTGGTCACGTGATGTGCGTTTTCAGCGTTTTGGTGTGGACGGAGAGCTGTTCAGAAACGCTGGGTAAAACGCGAGTGTAGACGCGGATCGTTTTCATTCTACAACGCCGTTTTAAAACTAAAACGCACTAGTGTAAACGGGGCCTAAATGTCTCAGTAGTTCGTCAGTAACCTTCTGACCTTCGTCATTGTAAATGAATATTAGCTGCTTCAGTCCAACATCCACATTATCAGAATGAGTGGACATTTCAGCAAGTGGACATTTGGAGTGGACATTTCAGCAAGACAATGATCCAAAACACAGCCAATGAAACTGTCAAATGCTTTCAGAGAAAGAAAATCAACCTGTGAATGGCCCAGCCAATCACCTGACTAAAATCCAATAAAAAAAAAACAAACAAACAAACAAACATAAAACAAAAACTAATCGAAAATTATATTTGGTAAACGAGACCCACAGAACCATTAAGGTTTTTACACTCTGTTAAAGTCTGAGCAATGCATGTGACTTCATTCTCCATATGAGTGGCGTCTTTAAGCTGCCATCACCAGAAAAGCCTTTTATATAAAGTATTAAATACATGTCAGTAGTTCAGTACTTATTCCTTGTGTTATTTCAGGGTTATTACACTTTTTTTTTGCATTGTTGTATTTTTATGTTTGTATTGTTTGGGGTTTTACTAAAATCTGGTTCAATTCCATGTTAACAGCTCATTTATTTTTCACAGAAAAAAAAAACAACACAAAACATTCACCCACTGTATTTGAATGCAATAAATAAATAAATGTACATAATAATAATAATAATAATAATAATAATAATAATAATATATTAGCAAAACAAATATTATTTTGTTACTTATTTAATATTTATTTTTATCAAGATATCAAAATGCTACAAAACAAAATCAATTCCTGGAACAATGACAAATATAGTTTTAAAAACTAGATGAATACAATATACATATAACATGCAAAGTATCAGTTATTGTAATTAAGTAAATAACCATTTTATTCACTTTAGATCTTTGTCTTTGTTTTTAACTGTTTTTCAGTTGAGAAAATGGAGTTGGGTAAGAATCTCAGTAGCGCAGTAGAAACCAGTAGAGCGTGTTTCTCTTTAAGCTTGTTATTCTAACATTCAACCTTCCCCTGTAACTCACGTGAAGCATAACACTCTCTCTGACCACCTAAAACACACATGCAATAAACAGCCATTAACCACAGTAGTTATTAACCAACCTCAGAGGTTATCCATTAGACAGTGTTCTAATCTCCCTCTCCTTCTTTCAGTGAGTCTCTACACCTCCATTTTCGGCGTGATGCAACTCTTGTGCTTGATGACGACGCCGGTCATCGGTCAGATCATGGACTGGAAGCTGAAAGAATGCGATGATGGAGAAACCAATGAAAAACAGCCCAACAAGTAGGTTATCAACCAATTTTTTATTATTTTTTTTTCATCTACTTTATGAGTGAACTGTTTGATTACAAATAATCATGTTTCAAGGTGAAAATGCTGTAAAATGTGATGGTCGGTTTAAATGTCTTCATTCACTCTTTGTCTCTAGGGATGAGCCCCAGCCAAAACGCAGAGACAGACAGATTCAGAAAGTGACCAACGCCACACGAGCCTTCATCTTCACCAACATCCTCCTCGTCGGCTTCGGCATCACATGCTTGATTCCAAACCTCCCGCTTCAGGTGTGTGTTGTGTGTTTGCTCTCACACACACTGAAAATAAATGTATCATTTTAACAAATAAAAAAAGATGAAGCATGTGTTCAGAATAACATACTACAGAGACTGTTCTGAATATGCATACTTTCAGGTTGCATTTCATTCTTTATTGCCAAATTGGTCTAAAGTACACATAAAAGTACACTGCTTAAAGTATCTCAGAATATAATGCAGTCAACTTGATCAAGAATTTAATAAATGAACAGAAAATAAATATGATAGTAATAATAACATAAATATATTTGTATATTTATTAGATATTTATATTATATTATATATGTATATATATTAGATATTTATTGCATGTTATTGTCTGTTTGTTCATCAAATTTAAGTGGAAGATCCAGTAGAATGCACTTTTGGAAAATTTTTAATTCAATTTATCATTTGAAACTAATTTATTATTTCTTGGTTTCTAACTTCTGGGTTGCGGCTGATTGCGTAAAACATATGCTGAAATAGTTGGTGGTTCATTCCTCTGTGGCGACCTCTGATAAATATTAAACTGAGAGAAAATTAATGAATGCATATTAGTATTTAAACCAAAATTACTCTGTATAATACAGTTACAATCAGAATTATTAACACCCCGAAATTAATAGCCCCCTGTTTATTTTTTCCCCTAATTTCTTGTGAACAGATTTTTTTCCAACACATTTCTAAACTTAATAGTTGTAATAACTAATTTCTAATAACTGATTTATTTTATCTTTGCCATGATGACAGTAAAAAATATTTGACTAGATATTTTTCAAGACATTTCTGTACAGCTTAAAGTGACAATTAAAGGCTTAAATGATTCATTAGGTTAACTAGGCAGGTTAGGATAATTAGGCAAGTTATTGTATAACGATGGTTTGTTCTGAAGACTATCGGGAAAAAAAAAAAAGAAATATATATATATATATATATATATATATATATATATATATATATATATATATAGCTTAAAGGGGCTAATAATATTGACCTTAAAATATGATCGCCGGACATAAGTCAAAAGTGCCAGGAGTAAAAATAAAAAACGGTTTACCCCACCTGCGGGGCAAGTTGTAACAAATGTTCATGTAATATGTAACATGTTTAAAAAGTCACATTACACACAATAATTTAAATTCAGTTTTACTTTAAATATTATTTCCTTAGTACTTAACTCAATTTATTTTATTCTACATTGCACAGCATGTTTATTTATTTATTGGATAAACCCATTTGGATTTATTTGCATTATTATACAATGCATTTAATCGCATTATTATATAGCAATAATAATATTTTTTTCTATTAAAAATATTCTATTAAAATACATTTTTTATTATAAAACGTTCGTAACAATACACTCAAAATTCAGCATTTATTTTATTAGTTTAATTGGTCTCCAACAGTGTGTGGCTTATTTGTAACACCCTGTTACAACTAAACCCGCTGTGTCATGTTTACCTAAAAACTGGCAAGCAGTCATTGTGTGTTTTTTACATCTTTTAAAATGGTTTCATCTAGAAGACGGTGATCACAACAATATAAGATTTTACTTACATATTTTTACAGATTATTTTTAAACGAAAAAAATATTGAGTATAATAAAAATACTTTTATGCTCAAAAAATAGTTTTTCCGGTGTTTCTCATCCAGATTTTGGCCAATGTTTTCAATAATTGGCAGGAAGACGTCTGCTGACACTGTGGTGAAAACTATGCTAAACACTAAACTCGAGGTGTCTGCTTAGTTGTACAGCATTTCCCCCTAGTGGCCAACCATTGAAACTACTAGCATGTCACCTTCTAATTCCACAATAAACATGAACAACAGAATAAATAAACAAGTCTCTAATATCTTTTTTGTCATGTCACCTCTCTTCAGATGCTCTCGTTTGTCCTTCACACCATTGTCAGAGGCTTCATCCACTCTGCCATCGGTGGACTTTACGCTGCTGTGTGAGTTTATCAGTCCAATGCATGATCAGTTTAATCAGTGATGGCTAGTATAAAGCACATAATAACACATCATGTTTGTTTGTGTGCAGGTACCCATCATCTCAGTTCGGCAGTCTGACTGGAATGCAGTCTCTGGTTAGCGCTTTATTCGCTCTGCTGCAACAGCCTTTGTTCATGGCCATGATGGGACCCCTGAAAGGAGACCCACTCTGGGTAAGACACAAAACCGAAAGCTTTAGTATTACTAAATGGATTAAATACCCATGAGGCATGTTCTGACCTCTTCTTCATAATCTTTGCTTTCTGGTGCAGGTGAACGTTGGTCTGCTGGTTGTCAGTATGCTGGGATTTCTGTTGCCGCTCTACTTGCTCTACTTCAGGAAAACTCTGCACAAAAAGAGGAAGGAGAAAGAAAATAATGCTAAAATCTACCTGAAAATCAACGGCAGTGACGTTCCGGAGGCGTTTGTGTAAAGAAAGCAGATAAAGGGAAAAACTAAGGCGTGAGAGTATCTCATATACATACAGCTGCACAAAAAACACATGATTAAAGACTACTGTGCCTCTTTCTTAATGATTAAATCGATGGATTTAAAAAGAGAAATGAGAGACAGAAAGCAACATGGGAAATTACTTTCAGAAGTTTCTTGTAAAGGCCCTGATTTACCTAAACTGAAATTAAAGAAAGATCGTTTGTGATGTCATTTCAGACCAAACCAGGCTTCATTTTAAGGAGTTTGAAGAGTGCTTGTAATCACCGTTTAACCATCATTGGTCTGTGTTGATGATGCTATAAGCGGGTGTAGCTTTGAAGCTCAGCCTTATTTAAAGTGGAATCTTCTTTTGTTTATTTCCTCTGTTCATCTGAGGTCAGACGTCTGCTAGTAAACATATAAATAGTGTAAAACTGCTTTGCAAAAAAGCAACATTGGCATTGTTTTCATGTTGAATTCTGTCTATAAACAATTGTATAAAGTGCTATTTAAATAAACGTGACTTGACTGAATGGAAAAGCTTATGCAACACCCACATCACTATTTTCCGAATACTTTCTTTGCTCTTTTCTCACCTCTATAACTTTGTTGTGTGTTTGTTTCGTTACAAAGCACACGTCATCCTAAAGCTTTTGTCGGCAACTTGAGGATGTTAACGTTATTCTATTGCTCTTGTATTTCAAACTTCTTTTTACTTTAAAATGAGCTTGGCTTTTAGTATATCGGGGCCTTAATTCACAAACTTTTACTGATTTTTTTTATTTTACTTTACCCAATTACACACGATGAAGTTTCAACTGTCTCTCAATAATCTAAACCAGTACTGCATATGAATATATGATTTTTATATGCATGCTTCTGAAGCCCGTCTAGACAGCAAAGGTGTAAAGATACCAGATGGCTGTTTTACCTACAAAGAAAATCTCAACAAGGGATTTCAATGTAAACCAATCCCCCCACCAAAAATATTAATAAAAATGCAGCTACACAAAGGGCCTTTTTTATAAAACATTATTTATAAATAAAAAAAAGATCTGACCACTTTTTATCATATGGAAGCCACAATTTATGCATATCTGTTTGTATATATGTTTTTATGCTACATGTGCATGAGATGCATAGATAAAAGTGGCTGAACTGCTCACGATCTGCAGCGAGTGCCTGATCTGGCAACAACAGCACTTTTAACACGTCCCATAAAACCCCTCTCATGACCCATAATTCCCTTTTTCTGTCCTTATCACTAGCATTCTGTGATTTTTCAGAGTGTGTTGAGAGTCATTTATGTGTCATTGATCGATGGATCAAGTTATTATGAACCTCCAAAGTAAAATATAAAGAAAGCACAACCTAACCCAGAAATGTGCCTTTTTTTGTGCAGTTTACAGTGCAGTTAAAGCTGATGATAGCTGATATGAGTATGGAGCCACAGATACTGTGGAAGTGTGTTGGTGTTATGTGTAATGTATTTATTATTTCTTTAAAATCTAACAGATCATATGGATAATGCGGCCTTATTTGCAAATGTTGTTATATTAACTTACATCTCAGTGTTGCAGTGGCTGTTTGCTTGTTTGTTAGTTTTTTTCATGTATTGTTCTATATGGCATTACGGTTAAAGATTATATTCAATAAAATTTGTAATTATTGTTCATTTTGTCATTTATTTATTTACAGTTATTTTGGAATGCAGTGATTTTATTTAATACTCAGAATTTGTATTCTTATACAATCTATAAATGTGTGTTTTAATGAAAAAAACTATTTTAGACTAGTGGTTTTGGATTTATAATAAAACATTATATAAAACATTTTATACAGTTGAAGTCAGAATTATTAGCCCCCCTGTTAATTTTTTCTCCAGTTTCTTTTTAACCGGGAGAAGATTTTTTCAACACATTTCTAAACATAATAGTTTTAATAACTGATTTATTTTATCTTTGCCATGATAACAGTAAATAATATTTGACTAAATATTTTTCAAGAAACTTCTGTACAGCTTAAAGTGACATTTAAAGGCTTAAGTGTGTTAATTAGGTTAACTAGGCAGGTTAGGGTTAGACAAGTCATTGTATAATGATGGTTAGTTCTGTAGACTATCGAAAAATATATAGCTTAAAGGGGCTAATAATTTTGACCTTTCTTATATAGATAAATAGAGGGATGGATGGATGGACAGATGTTCGGAAGGACAGACAGACAGACACAGACAGAAAGACAGATGCTTATATGTATTTATAAATAAATCAGATAAATAAATATAATAAAATAAATAAAATCTGACAATATTAGAATATAAGTGATATTTTTTTTATTTTTGTCTTTGGTATAACCAAACAATGAGCAATTACTCATTATTTTGAAAAATAAAATAAATTATCCCAAGTCTTGCTTAATTCTTATGAAATAATTTTTATCAATTAAATAATATATTTACTGCATGAAATATTTGGTGTTTCTTTTTTTCTTACCCTTAAAATGTTTGCTAAAATCTAAAATAAAGCAACGAGCTGCCTCTTATCTGCTTTGGAAATAAACAATTACACAATTTGAACAGGAAACCCTCCATTTATCTGTGCAGTGTGAGTTGGAGAAACGCTTTAGTGATGGGGCAGATCAAACTGTAACTACACGAAAATAATCGGATGGTGGGATCTGTCTCCAGATGTGCTATAAATAGACTGCACCAGTTTATCGTTACATAATTTGTGACAGGTTGTAGTTTTACTGATGTATGGAGAGCTGTGCGACCACCAGCTGTTACATCACATAAGCGACCACCACGCACCATCCACCGAGGCTGTCCCCATTTTTATCCATTTTTATATAAAGCTGACCACGATCACCCCCCTCCATGACGTCATAACTCCTATGTCACGGCATCAGCAGTTGTCGTTAACGCCCCCATCGGCCCTGATCAGGAAGTGAATCTGAGGGAAATAGAAAAACGGTCCCTAGAATGACATAGAAGCGGGTGAGGTGAGGGAGACCGAGACACCGGGACTAACGCAGGACTCGACACACATTTAATTCATCCAGGTGCAAAAACCGACGTTGTCTTTGGGAGGCATAAAGCACCGGAGAAAATGCTCATTAAAGAATTGTAAGTGTAACGTCATTTTTTATGATGTGATAGTGATGGGAGCATCCTCTGCCTGTCCATGCAGAGCAGGTACCGGAGGCCATGGCGACATTGTGAACTTGACTTTCTGACAGTTCACATTCAAAGCCTTTGGTTGTAACTGTTTTCCGGGCATTTTATACATAACTGGCTTTGATGTATATCATTTTACCTAGGCCTATGCAAAACACTTTATATTTGTATAAATACACGCCTGTGCCGTTTTGGCTGATGCATTTTGAACGTTTTCATTTGGATATCACTACCTGTAATTAAATGAACGCTTTTAAGTGGACGTTTGGCTATCTATAGACTTTAATGGCATCTTCATTGTGTTATTGATACGCTCGTGAAGGTGAAACGGAGCGAATTGAGCACACCGCGTTCCGATATTAAATGGCGCCGGTGTATTTATACTAATACTTTAAGAAACATCCCGTTCATTCATCACAATGTGACAATGCGACATTCACATTTTCGCTTAACCCCCCAAGGATGCGCGAATGATTTATTGAACAATTCGATTATCTATAACTTGACAATATAGGTAGCCTACTACTCGAAACCTCCCCCGTCATTCACCTTTGAAATATTAATAACCTATCTCTGCCCACAAACACAGAAGGCACCGTCGGAAAGGTCAGTGAAACCATATGAGGCTTTCTATTCATCTCCAAACAGTATTGCCTAATATGAGAAGCTGCTTTTCCTAAAGTCCCCGATGAAAACTAAATCACAGAGGCCGGTCTGTGTATTTGTTTTACATTGGATTTTGGTAGTATTTTGATGGTTGAGGGACTTTAACATTATTTATGTCAGTTGTTTTTTGTTAGCCTAATCCCTTTGACGTTTAGTCTCGTGCAACTCAAAATGACGCTTTGGCGCCCCCAGTGTCAAAATATCGTCAAGACATTTTTAGATAAAATATCAACCACAAGGGGTGAAACGTGTGAAATAAAATGAAAAAAACAAAGATACTATTTCGTTTGCTTATTTAGCTTAGCATGTTCAACAGCGATTGAACAGCGGTTGCCATGTAGAGCACTCAGAATAACTTCTGTGGTAACAATACACGTTAACCCTAACCTGAGATTATCATTTGGGACATCTGCTAAAATATAACGAATTAACTGTTTCAAAATCAGTTCCAGACACTTTCTTCTAGCATTTGTCCTTCAGAAATACCTTTTTCTGTTTAAATCCGCTTTTGTGAAGGTGCAGGAATGCGCGCTCACGCGTCTTCTCAATGACTCAGCCGCGAGCTGAAGCTTTTCCACGCGCCGTTAACGCGTTTTATTATCATGCCATGCGCTCTTCGTCGCCGGCATCTCTTTGACGTCACGTTGAGCCACGTCATGGAGATTTTGCCATGAGAGAGGGCTCCGCAGAGAACGAGATTTCCGTTCATTCAAATAAAATCCTCATTGCAACACTGAATATCCATAATTGTGTTATTTTTGAAAGTAACCTACTTCAAAGGCATATGCTAATAGCACGTTCACTTAGACTGAGGAGCATGTTCTCTTGGCTCTGCTTGTACACCTCAGGTCCCTCAGGGTTTGCTGGTTTGCTGTCCATGGTACTTTGTGCTTTCACTCATGCACTAAAAATAGGCTAACATTCAGCACTAAAAATACCCTCAGGTGAATAATTAGACCTTTGATAGAGTGTGGTTTCAGTATCCTCTTTGATCAGATGTATTTTATGTTGATTACTCTCATATTTGATATTCAGCTTCATATTTTTTGTTTAAAGTTAGATTACTTGAAAAATATATTTAACCTATGTGTTTATTATTTACATAAGATAAATACATAATTACACTGACAGAGTCAGTGATGATTTGTTGTTGTTGTTTTTAAATATGTCACTACATAACTATTTAAAGAGATATTCACTACAAAATGTAAATATACTGGCACGGG